ATAAGGCTTGAGAGCTTTACCCTGATCAACCAATCAAATATAACCTACGTTAAATTTAAACTAAGCAAAAAAGAAAAAGATTAGAAATTATTATCTTAGAAATGTGTCATGGCCAAGATTTGACAAGTAAAAGCAGGTAGACATTAAATTAAGACTGATACAAATGGTTACAATAAAGGTGCACATACCAGACAGTCAACTTTCATAAGAAATAAAAGCGGGCGGGGGCAGAGATAATTTAACCGAATGCCCAATTAGTTATAAGCTTTGTGGACTTCTTACATATTTTTTTTGTAGTTGATAAATAAAAAGCCTCTTTAAGAAACTAGTAAATAATCTAAATATATAGAATTATTTGGTAAATAATATGCAACCGTTAAATAAATTTCATCCATATAAGATGTTAATAATATCAAACCAATCAATGTGAAATGCCAAAAATACTAACTAAATACCAATACGCCGTATAAGATGTTAATAATACTACCAGGAGATCAATACAGAACTAAATTAAATCCAAATTAATCATAATAATCATCTTATTTATCAACTTCAAAAAAAATTCTCATCGTACCAACACACACACACACACACACACACACACATATATATATATATATATATATATATATATATTCATTAACTTCTATTGAACAAAAATGAATTACAGTCTTTTAAGAACATTTATAAGCTAAGTATTATCACACCAAAACAATATGACATGATCAACAAACTAATTAACATATTCAAAATGCCCCCAATTCATGTCCAATACAACGCTGAACCCTATCAGCAATACTTCTGCAAACCATTTGATATATTTCTACATTAATTTCAGAACATTTATCAGAAAGGACTTGCTTTAATTCAGTAATTGGTTTCGGTTTGAGTCTGTAAACAGGATCTTTCATTACACTCCACAAGAGAAAAGTTTGGTGGTTTTAGATTTGGTGATTGCGATGGTCACTTAATTGCTTCACGCTGTTCTATCCATCGCAGCTTGAAATTAAGATTTCCCCATTCCCGTATTCGTTAGCCACAGTCAATTTTAAGCCATATTAAAATACTGTAATTTATTTTGGTTCAATAAAAGTTAATAAATAAGAATGGGCGTTGTTTTTCCGCACCCTATATATATATATATATATATATATATATATATATATATATATATATATATATAGGGTTTGACTATATATATAGGTTTGACTATATATATATATATATAGTCCCTGGTGAGTTAGATTAAACCTACCCAGGTTTCACCTAAGTGGATCTTTCAGGGAAAGCATTCTCTGACGATATGCTTAGGTGAAACCTGGGTAGGTTTGTCAGTCTCACTAGGTTTGACTAGGTCTGCTCTACGATTGTATTGAGCTCATTTTAGTTACTTGTTTACTCGTGTCGGGGTTTTTTCTTTGGGCTTCAAACCTGTATCTATGCGATTTTTCGATAGACTTTCATGTTCCTGGCTCTTTCTTTTTTTAAAACCTTTTTTTCCTTCGTGATTGATTTGATTATTGGCAAATCAAAAATTTTTCGAAGGTTTTTCGAGACATGTATTTTTGGCAAACGGCTCACCTAACTACCGCATCAGTTTCGTAAACTCCACTGTCAAATTTGATAAGACTCTGTGTATGAAAGAATAACTTCCTACCCATAAGAAATAATTTCAAATTTTTAAAAAAATCCAGTAATTCCTTACAAATTAATTTGAAAATAAATTTAACAGATACGAAAAGTCCTAACGAGAGATGAATATTTCTTAATTAGGGTAACTGAGCCTTGCTTTGCTGTGATGACTTTCCATGGCCTAATGTTAATGCACACTTATCTTGAAAAAAAAAGGAATATAACTTTGATTCCTCTAGGGAGACACATTTTCTTTGGCAAGATTCTCGATTTATAGGCCGGTAATTTTTAAAAAAATAAGTCGGTAGATTTTAAAAATAAACAGAGTTATCTACCCCAAAACTTATACACAGTAGATCTTTTATATAATTTTTCTTATAATTTTTTTTCTTTTCTGGACGTAAATTATATAAAAATTGTCCAAATGTTTTATATGTCCGAACGCTTTCGGCTATACTTTTATCCATTATAAAGGATAATTTTAAGTTTACTTTTAACTGAATATATGGATTATTTTATGCGTGTATCCAGAGTTAAAGAAATGTTTTATTTTCCAAACAGGGTCAGCATATTGTGGCCGTGTTCCTAATTTATATTATTGGGTGTTGGCTTTTTCTTTTTTATTTTACATATACACACACACCTATATATATATATGTAAATATATACATATATATGTAAACACACACACAAACACTCTCTCTCTCTCTCTCACACACACACACACACACACACATATATATATATATATATATATATATATATATATATATATACCAGTTGGGAGTTATCCGGCGTTGCCTGGGTGTACATGTATACAATTGTATAATCGCACCCTGTATACCCGCACATTCCTGTCTAGAAATGTCTGCCTGCGCCCCCACTTTCATGCATCATCCGTTTGTATACTAAGCTACTCCCCGCTCATCTTCCTTTACAGTATGTCCTTCGCAAGTCCTTGATTGTTCTTAATAAAGCAATTCCATCAATAAAACCTTCTTGTGCGGTCGTTACTCTGGATTAAATTGTTTCATTGTTTTAGATATTCAGTAAATTTCCTGTGGCTTTAATAACTTTCAAATAGTATGTCATTGTTCACAAATATAATAATCAAACAAAAATCGTCAGAGCTTGATTCAACTGTGAAAACACATGAACGCCCTTTTCTCTTTATTAGCGCATTTACTGTAAAGCTGGTGGTAATGAGAGATTCTTCGGAAATGTTCCCCTTTTAACGCTTCAATAATCCTTCTCAAACAATCTTTGCATCAAAGGTTGTTCGAATGCCAATTTAGGATGGAATCATATGAAGAAAATATTGGCTAAATGCCAAAAGCTGATTTTGGACTTAGTTTGTCGCAGATTTTGTTCACTTAACTGAAATAATCTCAACCAAAAATTTACACGATAATTTGTGTGTTATATGTAATTTACATGGCAAATTTGGAAAGCATCGGGTGAAAAACCTGGTAATTATGACCGGAAAACGTCCTTTTCGAACAGTTTTTCCTGGTTTTTCGTTATACGCAGAGAAGCGAGCTGGACTAAAACCATACTATCTTATTGCTAGGATAATGTTAATTTTTTGCGGCAAGTTTGAAGAAAATCGGATAAAAAATGAGAAAGTTATTAAAGTTTTTATTTTAAGTAGTACAAAAACTCCTATTTTTTCAGAGTCTTTTGCAATTTTTTTGTGTGAAGCCAATGTCGCAGGAAAACTATCAAGCACGCTACATAAACCTCGTCACATGAGCGGATGTTTTGCCATAAGTGCAAAGAACATCAGCTCACCCAGTGAAAATGTTGTTCGTGTGTAACTTTGCCTTGGTTTTTGCAAAAAGTCGTACCCACCTTCAGTTTTATTAAATTTTAATTTGCCAAACCCGAGGTGAGGGTGCTGCAGATTAAAAAGTTTGTCTTCGTAAATTTGCAACTTGTGTGTACAATTTCATCGAAATCGGTCGAGAAATGTGGACGTGCATAAATAGCATACATGCACAGACACACACACAGACAAACACACACAGAGACACACACACAAACATCTTCTGTTTTATAAATGTAGATATATATATATGTATGTTAACTTACCTTCAGCATAAGCACAAATCATCAACAGGATGACCAACTGTTGGAGGCAACACCAAAGAAATTTTGTGGATACGGCCATGGCTGACTAGGGAAAATATTTTTATATATTCCTCACTTTTCTTGATTTGATTACAAGCTCAAGGCGACCGCTCAAAAACTGCTGCAGAAGACCTGACGGCAGAGACAAGAAGCGGACACAAATTATCAAAATATTTCGAAGAGACGATGATCGAACGAAACGGGAGGACTCCACAGAGAACCTGAAACTCCTCTGCGTCGCTTGGAGCCCTGCGACGGGCAGTTATAGGCTGGCCAGCATTGACACCGAGAAAAGAGGCGGAGTAAAAGATGAAGGAAAGGTTAAAACGGGAAAAGGAACAGAAGATAAAAAAAAAGAAGGGCCCAGAGCGAAGAACGCGAAAGGTAAGAGTGAATAAAGCAAAAAGAAAGACTAAAAAGAATGAATAAAGAAAACACTCACAGAAATAAATGAAAAAAAATGACTGAAAAGTACTTATTATTCTTTGCACTAATCAATGGTACTTGAATGACCGGATTTTTAGTCTTCCAACCAAATCTGTCTATTTGATAGGTGACGAGTATGAGAAAGAGGACTTGTTAACATGAAGGATAGGGCGAGTAAGGATTCAAAGGAAGAAGGGGCCCAAGGCGCGGGCGAGTAAGAATATACTCTCAAAGAAACGTCAATTGACTATCAACACCTATATATTATTTCAGTTCATCGCCGTTCTAAATAACTCTCCTTTCTCCCCCTCTGTCTTTTGTTTCTAAAATTCTTTCTTTCTCTCAACCTCGCTCTCTCTTAAAAGAAACTTTTTTCTGCTATCTCTCTCTCTCTCTCTCTCTCTATATATATATATATATATATATATATATATATATGTATCTATCTATCTATCTATCTATCGACAGTCTGTTTCTATCGATCTATCTTTTCATTTACCCTTCTATTTTCAACCTTACATGCTCTCTCTTTACATATAACACACACACACACACACACATACATATATATATATATATATATATATATATATATATATATATATATATATATATATATATAGTGAAATTAACTGTCTCCATACAGGAAAGTTTCGGCATAAATTGACCGATTACTGTTGTTTGATATTTAGAAAATCTTTTTCGTAAAATAGTTTTTCGAGAAATTTGACTTCTCACCACCACTAACTGTTATAGCTCTTGCTAATACTGACGGGAGTTTCCTTCCTAACTTTTTTTTTGTAGTGGCTGACGGCCATATTTTGAACACTGATTTTCATACGATCACCTAAGTTAAGCAACACTGAGCTTGGTCAGGACCTCGATGAGTGACCGCTTGAGAATACCAGGTGCTGTAAGCTTGGATGTGCGGGTGGTGCAATGGATAACAGCTTCGAATTGGAGATCGAAAAGCGGAGTTCCAATTCCAGTGATGGTCGTTATATTCGCTTACGCGAAAATCTCTTCCGAGAAGATATGAATCCATTTCTTCTCCCTCCAGCTACGGGTTAAATAGTAGGACTTGTATCAGTAAATCATTAATCTCAAAAAATTCTTACAGTGTAAAAAAATTAAATAACCTGATTGGTAAGCCATAAAAAAAACAAATCAATCTTTTTGGGTTCGCTGCTGTTTTCAAATAATGCGGTTTTTGTTATTTGGTAAAACTCTTTGCGATTCTGTAGCGCCAGTCTATAGAATTTGATGAAAGTTTGTCCTCTTTAAGTTTCCCTAATGGATTTATTTACTTGAAGCCACTTTTTAATCTTTTGTTATTAGAAAACAGTTGCATAAAGCTGACAGTTTAAATATTTCTAAACAAGTTGGATGCTATGCATGACATCCGCATGAGTGTCTAGATCTGACAAGTCTATTTACGAACATGACTTGAGATTTCTGGTTAAGATTTTAGGTTTCGTAGCATATTAGGGTTTTGAACAAAAGTATCCTAGCGCAACCTATACCGTGCTCAGTTTCATTACCACCCTGCACTTTTTCTATGTACCGTGTCCCTTAAGGACGTTGGCGATCATGGCTCTCCACAATTTCTTCTCCTTTTTAAATCTTAATACATTTTGTCTTTTTATTATCTCTTCTAACCCTTATTCCGCCATCCATTTATTATTTACTACTACTATAAGGAAGTAAATACTTATTATCTCCAAAAATTTTACAGTCCCCCTAAAATATTTTCTGGCGTAAAAAAAAAGAAAGATCGATAAACTGTAAAAGATAAATCAATCTATTTGTGATTGATGCTGTTTTCAAATGATACGTTTTTTGTTATTTGATAAATCTCTTAGTGATTCTGTAGCGCCAGTCTATAGAATTTGATGAAAGTTTGACTTCTTTAAGTCTCTCTAATGGTTTTATTCACGTGAAACCATTTTAAAATTTTTTATATACAGCTGACAGTTTAGATATTTCTGAACAAGTTGGATGCCGTGTGTGACATCCGCATGAGTGTCTGTTTATGGAAATCAGAAAGGGTTCTTTCAGACGATTACTATCAGTTTCGTTTTGGAAGCGTTAAAATTAACAAGCTATTCTCAACCTCAGTTATCAGTAGATTGTAGGTCATTTTTTTAAATCAGCTGCCAATTTGACCTTATCGAACTTATCAGACTTACTATTAAGGCAGGAGTTAATAGTTGTGTCATTAGTATAAATACCTAATTGAGAAGTGATGACGTCAGGAAGGTCAGTGATGAAAATTAAGAACTATGTAGGTCCAAGGATAGAGTGCAGAGAAATAACTGTATTAATGCAAAATGATCTAGAAGAGTGGCCATTCAAGACCACTTTCATATTTTAAATCGTATTACGTCTTAGCTTATGTGTACACTTGACTCTTAACCTGCAAATATATTATTGGCTTCCAAGCGGTCTTTAAATCTAATAAATTATTCACGCGAATTGTTTTTACATGGAAAGCTGAGAGGTACGCAGTGAGAGTGAACGCAGTTTACAAAACAAACATTCGAAAAGGAAATATTCTCGTTATGTTCAACCGGACTTTCAATGAAAACTAACAACTATACTTTACATTTGACGACAAATATCCCGAAATTCCTATGCTGAATGTACAAGATACCACCAGGAAACTAAGTGAATGTGTTTATGCGTCTGCATATACTTCTAGGGGTGTATACGTAACTCTATGTGTATATGATTATGTGAGTATGTTTAGGAATATGTTTGTATGCGTAGATATAAGATTATGTTTATGAGTGCCTGTGTGTATGAGTGTGTTTATAATGTCTGCATCAGTGATTAAATATGTATATGAATATGTTAGTATATGTATGTATGCGTAGATATAAGGTTGTGTGTATGCGTACGGGTGCATGTGTGTCTGTGTGTATCTGTGTTTATGAATTTGTCTGTAACTATGTATATCTCTATGCATATATTAGCGTCTAAATGGGCACAAGGGTGTAATGGATAGCGGCTTGAGGAATCGGAGAGCCGAGTTCGAATTCCAGTCGGATCTATTACATTCACTTACGTGCTAATACCCTTGAGAAAGGTATGAATTCTCTTCTCCTCCTCCCAGCTATGGGTAATTAGCAGGACAGACTGGGTTCTATAGCCTTGGGTGGCAACCGGTCTAGGAGAAGGAAAAACTCTGAATTCAAAATCGGCCTGGAGAGGATTGGGCTCCGTCAGCTTATCTTGCCCAAGAAACAACACATCTGCTACGGGTGCAGTACACATGGTACCCCTATGACCCTACGTATATGATTGTGTTGGTATGTATGTATGCCTAGATATAATTTTATATGTATATGTGGGTCTGTATTTGTGTGTATGATTTTATATGTCAATATGTGTATCTCTATGTATACATTGGTGTCTAAATATGTATATGACTGTATTAGTATGTGTATATATGTATAAATACACGATTTTTATATGTGTGCGTGTGCATCTGTATATAGAGGTTTGTCTGTCACTATGTCTATGTATAAGAGTTTAACTATATATATATTAATATGTGAGTATATGTTTGTGCAGCTATCAGGTTTTGTGTAAATTTGAGTGTGTATTTGTGTGTACATGTTTGTCTGTCACCATGCTATCTCTATGTAGGTATTAGTGTTTAAATGTGTATATGATTGTGTAATTACGTGTAGATATCAGGTTTTGTGTACGAGTGAGTGTGCATCTATGTGTATGGATGTACCAGTCAGTACGTGTATCAATATGTGCGTATTCGTGTCTAAATGTTTATGTGCGTGTATCCTCGTGCGTTTATGGGTGTGCATGAGTAAGTGTATGTGTGTGTGCGTGTGTGTGCACGCGCGCATATGTAAAGATTTATATGTTCGTAGACGTAATACCAACAAACACCGCTGCTTTTCAGTCTGTGAAACGTGCAAATATTGACTGAATGCCAATTAAAAAGAAAGAAGAAAAGAAAAAAGGTAAAAGAAAGCTGGAACGAAACAGAGAAGGAGGGGGGATGGAAAAGAAAAATGATTTAAAAAAATACCCATCAAAATGTATGTTGGTAAAAGTACATATGTGTTGAAGCAGGGGGTATGCGACGTTGTGCCAACATTGAGTCAAGTTCTGGATGCAACATCAGATAATAATAATAATAATAATAATAATAATAATAATAATAATAATAATGATTAAGTACAATAACCTATCACTCAAACAGTAAAGAGAAATAGAGTAGAAATAAATAATATGACAGAGGATGAGGTAAAAACTAAAATAAATGAGATACGAAATAATAATCTCCCAGGAAATAAAATCGAAGAATCTATCTGCGACATAAACTGCAGTTATCCAGATTATGCCAATGAAGAGAAGACATTAGGGAAGAATTCTTTGAAAACAACAGCGGTGAAATCACCAAAGCAAAAAACCACATCATCCAAGTATTCAGCAGAGTAACTCTCACACAAATGTCAGACAGAGACCGACTCCCCAAAAATTCATATGACAAAGTCCAATAAGCACATTGTGCAAATATACAACGCATCACTGGAAACACTGTTAACAGAAAAAAACACTGGGAAACATCAAAGAAGTTAACAATGTCATATACGCAACAGATTTAGCAGCTACTGGTAAGCTTGGGGTTAAGACAATGAAACAACAGGCAAAACCTAAAGCGAGAAATAAAGTAAATCAGATATGAGCTATCGGTACGAGATGAGATCCCAAGAAATTCAAATGTCTCAACACGAAAATTCAGGATGATCAAGCGGAGATATAGAATTAAATTATTAAATAAAATTCCATCAATCAAGGAAATACTAAAACAGAAACTGCAGTTAAAGGCACGGACAACAAGACTATACGAAAAACTTTGTAAGCTCTATCGCCGAAATAAGACATTCCAAACGGATCTTAAGAAATTTTACAGGGAAATTGTTAAAGCAATTATACATGTCAAGAAGCCACCATCTATTGACAACGTGCAGAAATTTTGGGAGAATATTTGGAGCAACCCAAAGAAATATAACCCCAATATAGAATGGATCCAACGAGAAAAACGAATTTTAAATAAATCTCTACAAGAACGGGAAAATATAAGCACGACTAATGTTAGGCAAGCTCTAACGAAATCCCCAAAATAGAAATCCCCAGGAAATGACAAGACACCCAATTTTGGCTCTGTCATCTGTCATCAATCTATAAAACTCTTGTATAAACTCTATAAATGCTTATTAATAATCCCATTGAAGTCCCAGAATGGATTATTGAAGGTAATACATATGTCATGCCAGAAACGAGTGAAATAGATGATCCAAAAAATTATAGGCCAATAACATGTCTGCCCAGCACGTCTAAATTGATAAATTGATCACGAACTGTACTTACTCTTTTCTCAAAGCAAATAACTTTCTTCAAATAGAACAGAAGAGATAGCGGAGAGGTTCATATGGTTGCAACGCTAAACTACTGATAAACAAAATGATCCTGGGAAATTGCAGGAAACTATGTACAAATCTTAGTACAGCGTAGATTGATTATTGTAAAGCCTTTGATTGTGTGCCACACTCTTGGATTCTTAAATGTACAAAGTCTGCCCTGTGGTAGTAAATTTCCTTAAGCACAGCATAGGAATGTGGAACACCACACTATACCCAAATCACACCAGAGATACTGCCATCTCCAACTGTCTAAATATCCGACATGGAACCTTTCAAGGAGACTCCCTGTCACCCCTTATGTTTTGTCTCTCTGTAATCCCCCTTGTGCATGAACTAAACAAGAGCAGCTATGGTTACAAACTAACAAGAAAGTATTCAATCACCTACTCTACTTGGATGATCTCAAACTCTTTGCCAAAGACGACAATGAGTTGAAGGGCCTCCTCAATACTGTAAAATGTTTTA